GAAAAATATTTGCTTTCATACTTTAATACCAACTTAAAACCAACTTAAAGTCTAACACAATTTTAGTGACATTTTTGTTTTGATTTTCATTTTGACATCAATAATCCTTTTATAATTAAATAAAGTTGAAAACTATATTAATTACAGATTTAATAAGATTCTCCTGTCAAGACTTGGTTGCCTGCATTAGTAATAGAAAGGGTAGTCTAAATAAAAATAATTAACTGAATATACTAAAACCTAAATGTAGCCATGACTTTCAACTTCTCCCATGCTAAGAAGCAAAGAGCCACATTTGATGATTTCAGAATTCTCCCCTTTCCCTTCTCTGGTGGAAGAATGGCTGAGCACTGCAATGGTCAAATGGAGACAGCAGGAAAAAGAAAAATAAAAGTTCCACAAAGTGGATTAGTCCTTGAATAATTAAAAGTTGAGCAAGCAGGAGCTTTCTCAACCTAATTTTTTTTAAAAGGGAAGGACAAAGAAACCAATCAGATAAAGTAGACTTTTACATCTTTCCTCAAGGTATTAATAGCTTATTAACACAATTTTGTGTAACTCCATTGCATTAAAAGCTTTGTTTCCAAGGTGTTTTAAGTTCAAAATGCAGAAATGCTATTTCCCATTTGACAGAATTTCTGTGAACATATTTAAAATAGATTTTATGGCATAGTTACTGAAGTGAACATATTGGGAAAATATTACCACAGTGTCCTAATTTGAAGGGTAAATATCTATTGATGTCATCTGATATTTGTGAATGGGGCAATTGTCCACTTTTTAAACTAAACATATCATTTTGCCTGTAAAACACAGTGCTTCCAGTGTAATTATTTCAGAGTACAGTCTTTATTTGTTGTGCAGCCTCGGTTTGAATCTAAGCTGAATACAATGAGCTTGAATCTCCAGGATTCCCAAAAGAATTGAACTCATAATGCCTTTAGAAGAGAGTTCTTTATAGGCCTGTGTTAGAAAATTTATGTGATGTCTCAACTGAAAAATAGGGATTAAAACTTCAGTTGCATGGCCTACAAATACTTGAATCTGCTTTTTACAGTAATCACAAATAAAAATGGCTGGAATAAGATAAATTGTTAAAGTGAAGTCCTATTTCTGGATGCATAATTTGAAAATCAAAACAAAGTTAATCTTAAAAAGTGTGTGTGTGTGTGTGTGTGTGTGTGTGTGTGTG